CTCTAAGCCAAGGATCTTGTGTCTCCTGGGAAAACACAATTGTATATTCTTAGGCAAGAAAAAAGGTGAGAGAGGAAAACAAAAAAAAAAGGTTGTACCGGGAAGGAAGTAACTTTATAGCTCCTTCCTTCTGTAACAACTACTGGTACCTTTTAAATGATAAAATTCAGATTTGGTAAAGTCTTATTAAGGAATTAAACAGCACCATGTCAGGGGGGAAAATTGCCAGTACTGGATACAAATTAACATCCAAATAACATAGCAACCCCAGTGGGTTTCCAAGACGGTAACTGTTGACCAGAGTAGAAAGCCCAGCCTTTCTCCTGCAGTGCTGCTGGTGGTTTCAAACTGCCAACGATGCAGATCACAGCCCAACGCAGACCCACTAGGCCACCAGGGCTCCTAACACATATTGCAAAAGACTGAAATGTGAAGAAATTTAAAATAGAATAAATTGGAGAATAAATGCAATCTATATTCCCAAATCATCGTCGAAATGCCATTTCCAGAAATCTCACTATCAGTAGGGCAGGCCCCATTTCCAGGGGGCCAGGGAATCATAAGGCTTGGTTCACATTGCTGCAACACTACACCTATCTCTCACTGATTTTCATGACCAAAGGTTCCCAGGCAAAAATTACACATTCCAGAAATGCTATGTGATATTGAACAACGAATGAGTGTGCAGGAGGGGAAAGCCCATCCTATGGAGAAACATCTTTAGTAAAAATTATTCTTGTAATTAACAAGCAATATTAAGATATTTGTGCTTGCTATTTTGATCAATTGTGTACTAATAAAGATCACACAGCATACACAAATCTAAAAAAAATTTTTAAGCCATTAAAATTCTATGTATCTTTCCTGTTACTGAGAAGCCTAAAAAGATCATCATAAAAAGACATTCAAGCATAAAATTAGATTACGTTCAAAGTCTAGGTTGTGAGGAATGGAAGTAAAAGTCCAAAAAAAAAAGGAGATGAAGTAAACAAAGTAAACTTACACAGTGCTAAAGAGGACCTTTATGTATTCCTGTGTGTATGTGTTCAATTTTTTTGTAAGATCGATCCAAATACAGCTTGATGTAGACTAGGTGGTATACGGAATCCCCACAGAATCATCACTCAGACACATTTCCTTCTTCCCCAATTATTGTGAAGTATATTCCAAATCTTTTATTTCAGCCATGATATTTCAATATACATGCATTACTAAAATACCAAAACTCTTCAAAAAGTGATCGTTAGAAGAACTTTATCAAACTTAACAATGTAGCAACTCCTTAGTGGCAAATATTCAATCTGTGTCCATCTCACCAAAGAGCGTATCCATGCATCTTTTACACTGTTTCCATCAGAACCGATGTAAGGCCCACAGATGATGGTTAGTTGCTCTGCCTCTCAGATCTCTATTTGCTCTTGCAAATGACTTCTTGAAGAACTTGCGTCATATATCAGGTTCACTCTCCCACAGCCTTGACTGGACTGACTCTACCCGCTTGGCCTCAGCATGCTTCTTGGTGCTCTGTCCTTCCTCTACAGTGGCAGTGGATAGGGTATTTGACCAGCGCCACCCCCCACTGCCCTGTGAGGTGTTGGTTGTATTCTTCCATTGGGAAGCACACAACACAGGTCGTCTCTGGTTGGTAGTGTGATTTTTAATGTTCGTGGTTAATGATCAAGGCCAAAATCAATTATTTCACCAGGAGTTGCAAAATGGTGATAGTCTTCTATCACTACTCTCCTATTATTAATTGTAATCCTTATATAAAGAAACTTCTCCTAATCTGGTTGATTAGCCAATGGCACCTCCCGTGGAGGGTAAGCAGGCTATAAGTCAAGTTGGTTCACATCTTTGGGCCCTGGTTGATGTGCGCAATGGGGACATTTCAGACTCATGGTAAGACAGAGTAGAGTCATCCCACAGGATTTCTGGGGCTGTTATCTTTACATGAGTTGGCTGCCAGGTCTTTTCTACCAAGGACTTTGTGGTGGGTTAGAACAACAGCCATTTCCGGGAGTGGGTAGTGCTTAACTACTATACCACCGGGGTTCATTGACAAAAGACACTAAGCGATCTACATGATGATCTCATTGCTGTTATTATCCTAACTGATAGATACTTCATCTTTGGTCAGTGGGAACTCCCCAAGTTGGATCCAGTGTGCTTGTTGCACAACCATAGGAATTTTCCTTTCCGACAGTGAAGACGGTGTCACCCTTTCTCAGTGACATCATACTCATAGGTCACTCCCAGCACACTTGTGACGCCGAGTGCCGTCCTCACAATTGTTCTTAGATTTGAACCCACTGTCGGAGCAAGTGTGTCAATGCTTCCATGGAGGGCCTTCCTCTTTTTCACTGTGCCCTCAATTTACAAAGCTTGATGTCCATCTGCCTGGACAGTACAGTGTCCTTCGCGTGCCAGCACGGCACAGATCACTGATCAACTCAAAAATGGCCAATGGCATTCAGCTGACTCGTGACCTATCTCATAAAAAGGGACTCATTATGACATGTTCTAGTCAAACTGAGAAGTAGCAATATTTATTCAGTTGCCTCTAATATAAATCTATATCCCTACACCTACACCTCCCCCACTCCCGATCTAAGAATCCTGGGTCCTTGAGGAATAGTTCCAACTCACTCTCCGCCATCGAGTCAGTTCCAACTCATAGCGACCCTCCAGGGCAGATAAATTACCCCTGTGGGTGTCTGAGAGTCTTAACTCTTCAGAGCACTGGAAAGCCTTGTCTTTCTCCTGTGGGGCAGCTGGTGGTTTCCAACTGCTGTCCTTGCAGTGAGTTCCCGAGGCATTTCCAGGGCACCATCGAGATTCCAGCAACAACAGAACAAGATTCCAACTCCTCCTTTGAGTCATACCACACTCTCCACCCAAGACTCTGGGATGAGCAATATCGGTGCTACCAATAATTAGCCATTTTAAGATCCTTGTACTTTGGCAGGTTATTTTTCCTTGGACTATATCTCACGTCGGCCAGAAATTACAATTACTGTGTTAAAATCCCTGGAGAGAGTTACCTTTGTAGGCTTGTGCCATCCCACGGATGCATGTTTTTAAACTGCTTTGGTGTAAAATCATGTGATGAGAACATGGTTCCAACAGTGAATCTACAAAACATTCTGGCTTCTAGTCCATTTCCCCCATTTTATGTTTTTCCTTCACCGTATGCACCTTTGTGTTAATGATAATCTAATTTAATTTGTTTTGTTTTTTTAAAAAAGAAGAAACATTAATATAAATCAGCCTTTTACTCTGTGGTCTATTTTATTTACTTTCTCATGATTTGAATCACACTTTTTGGTGTTGGGAAAGTTATGTTTTTGTTCTAATAGTTACTTATGGACACTTAGTTTTGTAGTATGTGGTCTTTAACACGGTCCATTTTTACTGTTGTCTATTGGTTATCCGCGATGACCAAGGATGTTATCAGCTAGCATTCATTTGTTTTCATTTAATTAAAAAATATTGCTGATGATATTGTCGAATATGCAGCAATGAGCAGTGCCAAGAGAATGCAAGACAATTTCTCTCAAGATTCAGCTTTACCTTCTCTCAGGTAAATGCTATTGTGACCCTCAAGACAATGGTCCATTGAACTCACAATCTCTTAAACTCGACAGAAACAACAATTGGGGTTGAGAGCTCACTGCTGTAGAGACCACCGTGTGCTCCTTGGGATGTTTACAAACAACCTCTGGCCTCTCCAAGCGGTAATCCCTACTAAGGCCAACTGGAACATCCAAAAGCATTTCTAGATAATCGTGTTCACTTGGTGAAAACCTCCCCCCCAGTTGAGAACCATTGATTTAATAAATAAAAATACTCTCTTGTATGTGCTACAAGAAATGTGGGACCAAAGAAATGGCAACTTCCAAGAAGGTATACAAAGGCCTCTTGAGATATAAATTCCCTGTATACCTCTATGTACAGCATTAATCTGTAATAAACGGGTGATTAAAACTCACCCCAAAGCTCTGTAGGACAAACACTCGGTGATTTGCTTGCATAATGAGGACAGACCACGAAACTGTCATTCTTTCCTGGAGCAGAAAGCCCCTTTACCCTGTGGAACAGCTGGCTGCTTCAAACTGCTGTCCAATGTCTAACCCACCACCCACCGGGTTCCCCTTAGCCCCTACCATCACTAACTATTACCTATGGCAAAACTTCCACACGCCTTCATGTAACTCTCCCAGGAATGGCTGCCTGAATCATTAAAAAGTTATCCGTTGAGTCTGCGGGGCCCTAAGTTTGCAACTCTCGACTCTCTCTGTCTCAACAAGGGAGCTCTGGTTGCACAGTAGATTATCCGCTGGGCTGCCAGCTGCACAGTCAGCAGTTGGAAACCACCAGGAGCGCCTAGCGAGATGAGGCTTTCTACTCCTGTAAAGAGTTACAGGCTCAGAAGCCCCCAAGGGCAGTGCCTCCCTGTCCTGTAGGGTCACTATGGGTCACAGTCGACTTGACGTGAGAAGTCCCAAGACAAGTCTGTCTTTGAGGTGGTATTCTACTAGCGGCTCTTCCAGAGCCTTGACGTTAAGTTGGACTCTAAGGCGGTGTCTTTACCTGCTCTTCAGGTAAAATTCAAGTAATGGGACTAATGTTTTTAACTGAGTTGAATGTCAATTAATGACGCTTTGCTTTTTCGGTTATACCTAGTCCCTTGATGATTCCTATCTGTTCCTGCTTTGAGGTGAAATTTTTGAAAGGAAAATTCCAGGCAATTTAATATCCTTATTTGCTTTTAGAAGCAATTAAAAGCCTCCGAGGCAAAAGTAAAGTAAGCCTCATCTATTAAAAAGTAAAGAACAGTGCTTATTTCTCTTGCAAAGGGCATTTGCCCAGGTTCTGGAGTTAATCAATTCTTTATAAAAACAGATAATGAATTCTATTCACAGCAGCATGGAGAGATAAGAAAAGTTGGCATCCCTGGAAATGAAGATGAAATGCGCAGAAAAGAAAGAGCTTCCACTTACTTGCACGAAGGACTGATGGCGTGACCTCAATTTCACTTGTCGCCTGGTAAGGCTGAAAGGCTGAGACACTGTGGGTGCCAACCTCACTGCCAAAGATCTCTGGGCTCTGGGTGCCAGTGGAGCTGGCGCTGGTGCCATCCCCGCCATGATGTGGGTCTTGCTCGTCAAAGACAGCTACCAACTACAGATCAAAAGCAGAGGGACCTTGGTCAGTAAAAACACAGAGAGAATTCCCACTGCATCAGATGTGAATCTACAAGGGAAAAGGTGAACACTGATGTGCTTGGGAACATTATGTTTTAGGAGCCCCAAACTCCAAAGCAATAGGCCTCCTAATATTTGGGTGCTTCACTTCCACATTTCCACGTTGTACATTTCATACCTACTATATCCGGGGATGAAAAATAACAACATGGTTTTCTATCTCCAAGGGCAAGGGCATGGACCCTAAGATTTCTGTAAAATACAGGCTGTATTGTTAAGTGGAAAAAGCAAAAGGCAAAAGGTATGCATGGTCAGTCACCTTTCACGTATTAAGAATGGGCTGTTGAAAAATACATACGCATCTGCTCATCTGTGCATAAGAAATACCCACCCGAAACCCACTGCTGAGATTGGAGAAGACTACGAAGAAATGACTGATTACCTGATGAAGAAATGCAATGTGAGATCCCTGACTGGATCCTGGGCCAAGAAAAAGGAACTCGTGGCAAAAATCCAATGAGATCTATAAGCCTCCCTCTGCCACCGAGTCGATTCCGACTCACAGTGACTCTACAGGACAGGGTAGAACTGCCCCTGTGGGTTTCTGAGACTCCAGCTCTTTACAAGAGTAGAAAGCCTTGTCTTCTTCACACAGAGCAGCTGGTGATTTCGAATTGCCAACCTCATGGTAAGCAGCTCATTATACTACCAAGCCCCTCGTAGTGAAGTCTATAGATTAGTGGGTAGTATTGGATATATGGGAAATGTGTGCTATTTCTGTCACTTTTATGACATACAGCATTCCAAAATAAAAGATATTAAGATGACTTTCAATGTACTATAAAAATGAAAACATTTCTTCTTATAACTGACAATAGCAGCCCTTTGACCCCAAATGATACTTAAATTCCAGGAAACAGCCGTTATCCCCTGGCTGTTCAGCCTTTAATACATGTCCAGCACCGAAACATCGTCTCCCACAAGGACAGAGGAACCTTGGCCAAACCTGAAACTCCACCCCTTCACCCTCACCTCCCAGCTTCAAGGACAATATCACAAACTTAGAGATTATTCGCAGTCGTGATAACTATCTCTCTTGCTGACAGACAGTTTTGTCATTTTGAAAAACACAATTTCCTTGAATATTTACATACCATCAACCCATTCAACAGACACTCCCCCCTCCCCCCAAAAATGGTTATAGAGCCAGGTAGAGCAACAGGAAATTCAGACCCCTGCAATGGCCTAATATAGAAAGACTGATTAAACAGTCTCTAGAGAGGTGCAGTGGTATGAAGAAATCAAAGCAGAACAAGTAGTTCAACCACTTTACTCGGTAATAAGCAGCATTAAGTGGGGAAAGAAACCTTTACAATGGCCCGAATGGGACAATGTCTTTGTGGGCACACCCCAAAGTGTTCCTAGCCAGTCATAAAATCCTCCTGTTTTTCTGGCACAGACGAACAAGAATCTCCCTGTATTAGCAGCATAGATGTCCCACTAGAAGGGAGTGGGTTCTTCAGAAAAGGGCTGAGAGTTTTATAGTTTTATAGTCCACGTGATCTATCACTCTCCCCTTAAAAATCAAGCACTTGCTGTTGTTGTCATATGACACAGAGTTGATTATGCAACTCATAGAGACCCCACATGACAGAAGAGAACTGCCTCATAAGGGGTTTGCAGTGATATATTTGTAGATATATATATATATATATATATAATTTTTCAGAAACAGTCATTAAACAAAAAATCCAACTGCCATCACTTCCACTCTAATGCAGAGCAATCTTTTGGGGCAGAGACAACTGCCCCAGTGGGTTTTCCAAGACTGTCAAAATTAATAAAGCCACACCTGTCTCCAGGGGGTGGCTGCAGTAGGCTTGTTCCACTGACCTTGGGGTTAGCAATCTAACAAGTAGCCTACCCTACACCACCAGAGCTCCTTGCACCAGACAAGATCATAAACAAACAAATGTGGTTGCGCTTCAATAAAAATGTATTTGTAAAAAGATCCTTTACAGGTATTTGGTCAAATCAGAGTTTGAGAACCTATGAGACTACCCATTCCTCTAATAAACAAACTCACTGGCATAAAATGGATTCCGACTCACAGCTACCCTATGCAGCAGGGACTGCCCCTGTGGGTTCCCGAGATCTTTCATGGGAAATGGAAAGCCTCGTCTTTCTCCTGAGGAGCAGCTGGTGGTTTAGAACCACTGACCTTGCAATTAGCGGTCCAAGGTGTAACTACTGTGTCACACCAGGGTCCTAACTAATCCTCTAGCACAGTGGTTTCTCAACCTTCCTAATGCTGCGACCCTTCAATACAGTGCCTGATGTTGTGGTGACCCCCAAACCATAAAATTATTTCCATTGCTACTTCATCACTGTAATTTTGCTACTGCTATGAATCGGGCAACTCCTGTGAAAGGGTCATTCAACCCTCAAAGGGGTCACAACCCACAGGTTGAGAACCGTTTCCCTAGCACCTCCCAATTTTCAATTACTTGGGAACAAAAGCCAGACATCGAGGTACTCATATAATCCTACTAAGGTAACAATGTCTACTTCAGGTGGCTCCCGGGTATGCTGAATCTCCATATTTGATTTTCATATGATCAGACCTCTCAAAAGGTGTGTGGTTTAATATGCATTTGGAGGATATTAAGTTTTGACATTTGGGGGCTTAATTGGAAGCAAATGAAATTCAAGTTTTGTTATTAACTTTTCACAAAGATGTGTTCTCTCAAGAATCAAGTCTTTTCTGCAAACTGAAGACAGAGATTGAAAATTGCAAAGAATGAGTCTTTAAATGCCACGCATGATGGAAAAGCGTATGTATATTAGCCTCAATAATTATCTCTAGCATTTTTAGAAAACACCAGTGTTATGAAATCTGGACTCTGTCGTGAACAAATGCTGTTTGAATTTCAGGGGCAGAATCACAGTTGGTGATTTGCAATATGCCAATAACATACAATTCTACAGCTTTCCTTTAAACCAAAATTTAAGTGGCAGGTGCAGATATGAAGTAATTTTGTGTTAAATTGGGAAAGATATATAATTTTAGAAAATCGACTCTACAAGAATACATATAGCAACATAGCAAAGAAAGAGACCTTCACAAAAACATCACATATTAAAATTTTCTATCATGCCCTTCAAAATATCTGCTTTTAAATTGGCAAAACGTGACTGAGATTTTTAACAGATGGAATCTTTGTTGCTACCCATGAAATAGATCATGCTTTAAAGTTCATTTTTATTTTCAATATTTATTATTTAAACTTCTTTCAGTTCCATTCACCAATCAACTCCCCATGAAAAATGACACATTAAATGTAGGATGGAACCCATGCGAAGTCACACACAAATGAATGCCACCCTTTCTTACACTTTGTCCACCTATCTCCTGAGAAATCAAGGCTAGCCCCCTAAAAACAACATACTTCCCTCCAACAGAAAATCTATTAAAAATCACCATACACAAATGCTTGTAAATCTCGGGTGACACCTTTAGTGGACGAAATGATCAGGTGGAAGCCCACAGCTGTGTTTGGCAAAGTGTCAATAGACAACAGAATCTGAAATTGGAGAAATAGATTGTTCGAATGTGTTAATTCCGGATCGATCCCCTGCCGAGAAGCTGCCTTCCACCCCAGATACACTGTTAAATATATATATATATAAAATAAATTAAAATTGTGTACCTGAGATAGAAGGGCAAATGCTCAGCAGGGAGTCGAACCAGAATGAACAGCTTTGGAATTATGCAGAGAAACCTACCCAACTTCCTGGATGACAGCTGGTACACATGGGCCGTCCAAGATTGCTAAGCTTTACTTTGCTCAGATGGGAAAGAAGAGCGGCTGTAGCAGGCAGAGCCACTGCCCCCAAAGATGTCCATGCCCACATCCCTGGACCCTGTGGATAGGCTGCCTTCCAAGAAAAAAAGAGGATTTGCTAATGTGATTCAGGTTAAACATCTGCATGGGTTGGCAAGACTCCAATCCTCAAAATGTCTAGATGGGCCTCGGCCCCACCTTCTCACTTCATCCTGGTTGCCAGTCACCCACTCGGTTCATTTCCACCTGTCAGGAGGTCAGAGGTCTCATGTTGAAAGGACACCATCCATCACAATGCCAAGTAGGTGGTTGTCTACCTTCAGTTTATGGTGGCCACATGAGGTCCCAAATTAGATCCACTGCCCTCTTAGGAGGCTGCCATCCACACCCTTATTTTCCAGCCTGCTGGTTCACAACATCCCTCTGGGTTCAATAATTCATTGGAAGAACTCATAGAATTCACAGAAAATACACACACTTAGGACAACAAGTTGTTGTTTGAGGTGCCACTGGCCTGGGACCACAAGTACACAAGATCGCTGTATCACACAGCCCTGTCATCTTCACTGTCCCTTTACCGACCACCTAGGTGTCGAGAGGAATCTGACGACAGGTTACTACAGCCAAAAAAAGAGATAGATGAAGAGGTGCACTGGTGCGGCCCGAGAGAGTTACCAAGACAGAACGTCAATGTCTCAAGGGACGAACTACCTGCCCTCTGGAGAGCAGGTGTTCTCACCAACCAGGAAGCCCCCAGGCGACCATATTCCGAGCATTTACTGGCCAGTCCTACTGTAAGTTCAATCATGTCTCCTGATACAAGTGAATATCAGTCTGCTAAGTGACTCTTTCCTAATCTTGTCAGCCTCAGCTTGCCAGTTTACTTTTCAGGTGTGACCTGGAAGCCCCAGACTAAGGCACTCCAAATACCCCCAAAGATATTTCTCTATGACCAAGGGCAAATATTACCTCACTGATGATAAAATTAGCCCTTTATCCCACTGTAGATGGAATACCTTAAGATGGGAAAGTCTCTTAGATTTTAGATTTTCTACATTGATCCAGCCTAATCATGAGTTTGGAAAAAGTAAGAAAAGTCCACTCAAAAGAGGAGTGAAAAGAAAGAAACAAC